TATAATAAGGCTTGGTACAGGGTTAGGCTAGGCTATAGGGTATATCTGTCAAAAATTAGGCCTAGAATTCCGTCCATTCATTTTGGAAAATACGGGCAATTCTGTGCAATTTTTGCTAAAAATAAGCATTGCCATACCAGTGTACAGGTAAGGCCCCTATGTAATGATTCTGTGTGCAAATTTTAATTTCCAGCAATTTACCGTGCAAATTGGTTTTAGAGATATCCTCCGTGCAAATAAAATGTTTCACAGTATATAGTATACAGTATAGTATACAGTATATAGGGCCTATATCCCTTTTCAGAAATTTGTTTGGCCTGGAAATCCGTCCGCTCATTTTGGAAAATATGGAGGGCGAATTTCCATGAAGATTTTGCACATAATTAGGTATTGGCCCTTCAATAACAATATAAACTGTCATGCACAGTCTTGAGTCCATGCACAGTTTGCAAACTGCAAGAAAATCTGTCTGCACATTTTGAAACAACAGACCTGATTTTCATGCAAAATGACAGAAAATTAGACCTTGGTCTATCTGCTGAGAGAACCATGTCCTGTAATATGCAGTAGTTGCAAACGTTCCAACCCCTGGAACTCAAAATTCTGGAGACAAGAGGTGCGCTGGTGAAGGGCACCCCCACCCCCAAAATGTTGAAAGTTTCTTTCATTAGGATGCTAGCGTTTTGAAAAGTGATCTTTCGAGGTGATAGTAATGCTCAGAAAACCGTTGCACCAACATATGTTCAGACCAGCATAGATGGATATAAAGATACGATAAGATAACTTTTAATGTCGAACATTACACTGGAAATTTGTTTTCATTTTGACTATTTATAGGCCTATGAAACACCTAGAATTCACATAGTAAACACAGTAGGGCCTACAGTATGAAAGACACTAAAATTCACATCAATTTCAAAATCAATATTAAAATTTACTGAAAATAATTGTAAAACTCCAGGATAGTGATAATAATTGGTATGATTAAATTAATAATTAAATATTTTTAAGAAATACTAAATTATTGGTAACAAAAAAGCAACAATTTAGCTGTTTTTGGTATTTTGGGGTTCTTTTTTAAAATTCAGGAGACTGTAAATTGCATGGAAATTTGGAAGACTCCCGATCGAATCGGCTAACGATTCAGTGATACTCCTCATTGGTTGCTTGAGGATGTACATTTTGGTGGTGTAAAGCTGTATAACCGGGTTTGGGCAGTTCTTACAAGTCATACAACTTTTTCACGAATCTGTAGCCATGTTGAAGTAATGACCAACCTGGTGTGTAACCAATAAACTAACCTTTCAAGTTAATTTTGAAATATAAGTGAAAATTATTATGTTGGAACAAAAGTTTTAACATTTAAGAGTAATAATATTAGATACCTTGTTTCTTTTGAAAATATGCATCAATTGTCTTACTAATTGTACAGCACATTGATAGTTTTTTTGTAAATTAAATTAAAATTAATTTATGTAAAGAAAAATATGCTTATATGACAAACTATGCCCTACGTTACATACACTGAAAATACTTGATTGATGGTAAAATTAATCTCCTATTTCACCGAATACATGATCATACTTTTGTAATTTAAATTAATGTAAAGACATGCTTATGACATTAATCTATGTCAAAAAATTGAACTACATTACTGCATTTACTGCTTGTTAATGACTTAAAGAGTATGTGCTGCAATGTAAAGAAACCCTTACCTTAAATGAACAATACAGTAATGCATGATTCTCTCTTCAGTGAAAACGAAGATTGATTACCATCAATCAAGGTTTTTTCAATGTTATGTAGTGAAGGACATAGATATTTGTCATAAGCATGTTTTATATCTACTTGCAAATCAAAGGTCTACTACTGGCAAAATATTGGGAAAGACTTAAAAAATCTAACTGAAATTTTGAATAGCCCATGTAAAATGGTCAAAATGCTATTATCTTACAATAAAAATAAAAATTATTTTTCACTGATTCACAGAAATTTTGTACTTAATTACCAGCCTATTTAAGGTTTCGTGCAAAAAGCAGAAAACATGTTTTTTTTTAAATTTTATTTCCGATAATTTATATCTAATAACAAAATGGCTTAATCACCGTAATGGACTCTTTGATTACAATTCAAAATGCCAGATATGTTTATAATCTTTTTTGTTTTACCATAGAGAATTATATTTTGATGTACTTGTCTGTCCAAAAAATAGGAAAATCCTTGGAAATTTGAACAGCTCATAATAGGAAAAAAAAAATTGCTGATTTATAGACATTTTTCATTTCCAATCTACAGTAAGTCAACAACCCAATTAAATGTAAATTAGAAAAGGATTATTTATTTCTATATTAACTGAGAGGTCAACATTTTTCATTCAATTTTTTAACTGTAAGTTTAATAAGAACTAATACTTTTTGTACAGCTTCAACTAGAATATTCCATGGAATTGAATTTTTCAAAACCGTATATCTTTAATTAGAATTTAATAAGCAGGCTCGTACACAGGATTTGTGGCGTATCTATTGGTTTACGGGACCCTCCCCAATCAAAAAAATACTCCCCCCCCCCCTACAAAATAAAAAAATAATGGGGAAGTAGTTGAAAATCACCTTATTTTGTGAGGTAACTTCCCCCATCTAATCTTGAGCCACCCCCACTTTACTTTCATACCCCCCGCCAATTTTACGACTCTAGGAGTCACGACACCTAGGTATACCACTGCTAGGATGTTCTTTCCTCCATGGCTATTAAGAAAAAGCCCTGCTAGAGTCAAAGGGGTGGAGCTCATACATAATATCTTGGACTGTCTATAAAGGCCCAATTCAGCCTCTCCTTACAGAATTGTTTTTGCGTGACAAAATTTTATGGCTTTCTATGGGATTTCACAGATTTTTATTTACTATACCTCATGATTATTTATTTGGTAATATATATTATTAAGGTAAAGTGATTAGTAATAACAACATTTTATTGGTTAAATTACCTTTGTTCTCAATATGTTATTTCATCTACATTCCAGCTGGTTCATATTAATTTATGCAGATGTTGGGAAAAAAGTGAACTGCCTTAAATCAGCTACCATATGTTTGGCAACAACAAATGTCTATCTCCATTGTTGTTGTTGATAAAATATTTATGAGGTATGTGATATGAATAAAACATTAACAATTATAATTCAAGGAATTTTTCAATCAAACCATGTAGTGTACTGTACTACTGTGCTATGCTCTTTTAATAATTTTTGTTACAGTGAAACAACAAAATAACAAGGCAACCAACAGGATAAATGTGTGACAAATTCAAAAACATTTAATTAGAACTGAATATAATGCTACTGTAGTAAACAAATTATTGGAACTATCATTACCAAAAAGAAATGACGGTGATTACAAACTTTTTGGAGAAAATAATATTATTCGACGTTTAATTATTTATAATACAGAGATGAAATTGTAAATAGCCACAATATTTACACTTAATATGTGAACCTTTACTGCTCGGCTACATTTCACCTGATAATAATAATAATAATAATAATAATAAAAATAATAATAATAATAAGCTGTATTTAAAACATGGAAACTTGACTCAACTACAAGTTGTTATTATGCAAGGAACTACAAGTTGTTATTATGCAAGGCATGTTTACAACAGTAACCAGAAAATCAAAAGAAAAAAATTACTTAAAATTAACAAATCAAACAGTTGTTTAAACTAACAAATATCTTAACTAGACTTATATCTTAAACTAGCTGAATTACACTTTACAAACTGGAATACAAAACAAATATACAGTAGTTTGTTAGAAACTACCACCATGGTGTCAACAAAAATAAATATAGTAGTTTAAACATTCTAAAGTGTAATTACAATGTCGCAATTATCTTTTTAATAAAGACAGTTTCTTAACATTTTCAACATCATTGCTAATTTCATTCCAAAGTATAGCTGATATGTATAGCTGGTACCGTAATATGTGCAAAGATATGGCGCAATCTCATATTCTTGTTGATTCTGATACAGTATTGCTTTTAAATTCACTTTCGGCAAAATTGGTATTTGCAAACTGGGTTTCACAATTTTTGAGCTAGCAGTTTGATATTTGGCAAATTCTTCGGCAGAGTGGACTCAGTAATCTGAAATTTGGCCACCTGGGTTTTGGCAAATTGGCCTAAATCCGACAATTTTTGGGTGGTTGTGTTGGGTTGAGCAAGTCCCGGAGAAGGGCTGGAGGATATTACAGGCTTTTCAAGTTAGTAAAATGCATTTCAGATAACCAAGTTTTCAAATATCCATAGTACAGTTGAACTTGCCTAAGTCGAATCAAAAATTGAAATATTGTTCGACTTTGATAAAATTTGACTTACAGATTGTTAATTAATTGAAAACACAACAATTTGCCATGTAAAATAAGATTGACTAAGAATCGACTTTTTAGGTACAATCGACTTAGGCTAGTTTAACTGTAAATACAAAATTTCCATAGCACCTATTAATTTGTCTTGAGTACAAAAAATATGGCTTGATTTACAGTATATACAAAGTAATAACATCTTTCAGACCAAAATGGGACAAGGTGAAGATTTACA